TGCAATGGGAAAGGGTAAAAGTCCAGGGCCGTGTTTCAATATCTGCCTCTTCCCTACAGGACCCATTGTGATTGGGAAGGGATGAATGTTTGCTTTTGGTGGGGATGCTGAAGATGAATCCAGGAAGGGATGATAGTTTGCGTTTTCCCTGGGGAGTGAAGATTGTTAGGGGGAAAGGATTTACTGGGCGAGGTTTAATGTTTGGCTAATTTCCCTCCCTCCTTCCAAGCCACACTGTCTTTCTGWTTTGCCCCCAGGGCTGTTTTATAGGAATATTAATTTTTCATAACCCTTTAGAACCTCCCTAAATTGCTGAGGCTGGCCTTGAATTTATAATCTTCCTGCCTTGGCCTTGTCACTGGGACTAAAGGTGTGTGCCACTGTGCCCAGCTGGAAGTCTTAATTTTTTAAAAAGAGATTTTCTCTTCATTTCTCACAACAGGTTGAACATCTCTAATATGAAAATATGAAACATTCCAAAATGTGAAACTTTGAGGGTTGATATGACATACATTGAAAATTCCACACTTGACCTCCTACTAAAGCTTGTAGTCAAAACGCAGGTGCACTAAAAATACCATGTAGGGGCCAGGGGTGTAACTCAGTGGTAGAATCACTTGCCTAGCATGTTAAAGGTCCTGGGTTCAATCCCCAGCACTATTTAAAAAAGAGAGAGAGAGAGAGTGTGTGTGTGTGTGTGTGTGTGTTATACATGCACATGTGTGTGCATATATAGTATAAAATTACCTTCCATCTGTGTATAAGGTGTATATGAAAAAAATTTTATATTTTAATTTGGACCCAATACCCAAGATATCTTATTACATCCATGTGAATTTTCTAAAATTTAAATATAACCCAAAATTTATAATACTTTTAGTCCCAAGCATTTTTTTCTCTTTCCACATTATTTTATTGGTACATTATGRTTATACATAGTGATRGGATTTGTTTTAACATATTCATACATGCATATAATAGTACAATATTATTTGGCCAATATCACTCCCCAGTAGTTCTCCTCTCCCTCCCCGCTTCCCAACTCCTGGTCCTTTACTGATCTCCCTTTGATTTCATGAGATCTCTGCTCCCTGACCTTTGTTTTCCTGTTTTCCTCTCTAGCTTCCATATATGAGAGAAAACTTACGACCCTTGACCTTCTGAGTTTGGCTTATTTTGCTTCACGTTCCATCCATTTTCTTGCAAATGACATAATTTCATTTTTCTTTATGGCTTGAATAGAACTCAATTGTATGTAAATGCTACATTTTCTTTATTCATTCATCTGTTGATGGACATGTAGAATGGTCCATAATTTAGCTGTTGTGCTGTCAGAAACATGTATATATCACTATAGTATGATAACTTTAATTCTTTAGAATAAATACTGAGGAGTGGTATAGACACATTATATGGTAGTTCCATGCCTAGTCTTTTGAGGATCCTGTTTATTTCCATATTTGTTGTACTGATTTACAATCCCAACAACAGTGTAAAAAATGTCCAACATCATTAGTAATTATGGAAATATAAATCAAAACTATACTGAGATTTCATGTAACTCCAATTAGAATGGAAGCCATCAAGAATACAAACAATAATAAATGCTAGAAAGGATTTGAACATTTTTTCATATTTCTTTTTAGCTGTTTGTATTCTTTGAGCAGTGTCCGTTTAATTCACATGCCCATTTATTAATTGGGAAATTTGGRGTTTTGGTGTGTGTTTGTTTTTTAGTTCTTTTTACATTCTGGGTAAAATCCTCTGTCAGAATAGTAGTTAGCAAAGGTTTTCTCCCATTCTGTAAGTTTTCTTTTCATATTCCTAATTGTTTTCTTTGCTGTGTGGAAGCTTTTTAATTTATACTATCCCATTTATGAATTGTTGGCAATATGTCCTGAACTTTAGAGGTCCCATTGAGAAAGTCACTGCCTGTRCTTATATGTTGGAGGGTTGGATCTACATTTTTTCTAGGAATTGCATATTTTCTGATCTGTTTCCTAGGTCTTTGATCCGTTTTGAGTTGATTTTTGTGAGAGACAAGGGTCTAGTGTCATTTTTCTACATATGGATAACCAGTTTTCCCAGCACCATTTGTTAAAAAGGCTGTCTTTTTCTCCAMTGTATGTTTTTGGCACCTCTTTCAAGGATCAGATGACTATATCTTTGTAAGTTTGTGTTTCTATCTTCTGTACACTGGTCTATGTGTCTGTTTTTATGCTAATACCATGCAGTTTTTAATACTATAGTTCTGTAGTATAATTTGAAGTCAGGTTTTTGATGCTTCCAGCATTTTGGAAGGGGATGGGTTTGGCTTAGAATTGCTTTGGCTATTCTGGGCTCTTATTCTTCCAAATGAATTTTAGGACTGTTTTTTTTTTTTTTTTTGTAGTTCTTTGAAGAATATCATTGGTATTTTGAATTTGTATACTGCTAACATTTAATTAAGAATTTTCATATCTGATAAGTCAGTGATAGAACACATGTGTGTACCCAAGGCCCTGAGTTCAATCCTAAGCATCTATGTATAAATCATCAATGTCCTTAATACATTGAAAAAATTAGTCAGTGATCAAATTTCCCC